CTATTAATAATTTTGGTATAGCATTTAACAACATGTTTTCTTAAAAATTAAAAAAAGGGTATTTTTACAACTTTAGCAACTACTTTATTTTGAAAATTTTTATAACTTCAGTATAACGATTAACAATTTTTGTAATGCTATTAACAATTTCAGTATAGCAGTTAACAACAGGTTTTTTGAAAAATTTAAAAAGTAACATTTTTCCAACTTCAATAATGCCGTTAACAAGTTTCGTAACTCTATTAACAACTTCGATATAGTATTTAACAACATGTTTTCTTAAAAATTCAATTAAAAATTTTTTACAACTTTAGTATAATGGTTAACAACTTTTGTAATACTATTAACAATTTCAATATAGTAGTTAACAAGTTTTCCAGAAAATTCAAAAAGTAACATTTTTACAACTTCAGTAATGCCGTTAACAAGTTCCGTAACTCTATTAACAATTTCGGTATAGCATTTAACAATAGATTTTCTTAAAAATTAAAGGTAACAAGGTTTTTCAAGGGACATTGACAATATCCATTTTGCTTTTCTTCTTCAACTTTTCCACCATACATAATCACAGATAAAGATGCCGTAAGGAAATATGGTTTTTCCTTTCAAATTTATAAAAATAATGTTTCTACTTTCTGGTCTATGTTCTTTATTTGATTTATATTTTACTAAAATAAACCATACAAAGTAACAAGGTTTTCCAAGGGACATTGACAATATCCATTTTTCTTTTCTTCTTCAACTTTTCCACCCTGTATAATCATTGATGAAGATGATGTCGAGACCGAAGACAAATGCTGAATGGTGCCACTGGCCCCTACCGGATTAGAAGGATTTGATGAAAGATGCAATAAGCTCCCACTCTATTACTGTCATTTGTATTTTATTTTCACATATCAAGGAATATAAAATAAAGTTTAATTTGTATTTTATTTTCCCATATCAAGGAATATAAAATAAAGTTCTTTCACAATTTTACTAATTAAAAAATGGGTATTAAAATATGGCCAAAAAAAAAAAGAGAAAGGATATTGAGAAAAAAATATATCATACATTTTTAAACTACTTTCTTTGTTAGTTGTTACATTCAACAGGGGTAAAATTGGAAAAAAAAATTCATTATTTACCTTGTAAGAGATTTATATTTAGGAATACATTTTTCTCCAACAAGTAACTTGCATCTAAAAACAGAGTGATATTATAATAAAAATCAAGTATATACTTCCTCCAGCTTTAGTTACATAAGCAACTTAGGGTTTTTCTTTTATCTCAAATATAATATATCAATAAATTTTGTCTTTCAAATTTATATACTTTTTGTTTTCATCAATAAAATAATTATCAAATACGGTAAGTTAGAGAGACCAATATGTATTTGTTATAAATAATTAATTTAACTAATTTTTTTATAAAAATGCCATGTGAAACATTGAAAACTTGATAGTAAAATGTTGAAGATTACTACCAACAAATGTTGATCTTAATAACAAAATATTTTAACTACTTAAATACGAGGTCTTGAATATGAGTTTGTATGAATAAAGAAAATGGCTTTGGGAGAGCTGCCTAATTGGCTCCGATTATGCTCAAATCTAATCAAATCAGGTAGGCATCAACTTCCCAAAAAAAACAAAAACGCAACAACCATTGAATACAATAGTGAAACATCAAAACTTGATTATAGAAACTTGAAGCTTAATAATAATAGATATTTTTCGTTTAAATATCAATTAATATTTCAATTAAAAAGGAAGAGTAAAATATTAAAATGTGATTCTTTGGAAAAAAAATATATTAAAATGTGATTGGTTGATCGGTGTAAGTTCCATTGCATTCAATATAATAAAAATATTAAATCAAAAAATAAGAGTTGCAAGGTGCCAAAATATAATTTGTTGATTCGCATGAGTCTCACTATTTGGTGGCGAAAAATAAAATAAAATAAAGGTCTAGCCTGGAGATAATTTCGTAAATTCGTGTTGTTAATATAATTTCTCTCAAGGACAATCGTCTTTACAGATAATTTTTCAATTTTTATTGATTTTTAACAAATTTTTAGATGTCATATCCGATCCTTATCAGCTATTTTCCTATTGGAAAAAGTGGAACACCATCTTTGAAAGGCCTTTTCTGTTGACCTATTGACTGGGGAAAACTTTTGGAAAATGTTGGGTTGACTGAAATAATTGAGGTGCGGTGGGAAGATTCTTGGAATTAAGTAGGTAGGTAATGGAAATTGTGGGAATGGTTCCAAGAAGCTTGTAAATTCAAGGATGTTCCGGTCAAAATAAATAAATAAATAAATTCAAGGATGTTACTATGTTAGTTTCGCTGCAAATATTGGGAAAATAAACTTTTTTTAATGAAAATTGGGAAAAGGAACTTTAAATATGATGGTAAAAAGAAACTTTTAACATAACCATTAGAAATTAGAATGGCCGGAGTTTAGTGAAAGAAAATCAACAGAAAAAACCAGAAAAAAATACTCTCATCCACAATATAAGTCACTTTAACTAATTTATTAATTAAAAAAATGATGGTAGACTCGTTAAATCTGTCTTAAATTAAAAAAAAATTCAACTTTATTTGTATTAAATGAGAACGCTCAATAAAATCATTAAACTAAAACTTTTAATTAAAAACATATCTAAAGATTTAATTATTGAAAGGACACAATGGTGTTGTATACTTCATTAGTTGACTCCGCTTAGTGGGTTAATGTTTGTTATTGTACATATATTAAATGAGATTATGAAAGTAAGAGAAAAACACAAAGAATTACATTTAAGCATTGATTATAGAGACAAATTGATAAATAAGTACTCCTCCGGTTCTTAATATAAGACCCATTTAATTAATTTGACTGAATTAAGGAAGTTAGGTAAGTTAGTTGATTATAAGAAAAGTGACACATTTTTCCTAAAACACCATAATCATCTTTCTTAATACCCTCTCTCCCTCTTCTACTTGATTATGATTGAGAGAGTATTCATAGGGGTAGTTTAGAGAAAATTAATAAATATGAGAAATGGATCTTATATTTAGGACCAAAATCAACTCAAGAATTGAGTCCTATATTAAGGACCGGAGGAGTATTAATTATTCTTCAAATGACTTATATTTTGGATCAAGTTATTCTTCTAAATATGACTTATATTGTGGAGCGGAGGGAGTAGAGTGAGAATAAAGTGTGCAATATGTATTTATTAATTGAATATTTGGGTTAACTTATATTAAGTGATTTTATATTTTATGAAATAAATATATTGAGAAGTTTCGTCACAAGTTACATACAAACAATTATAAGAACCCTAATAAATACAAAATATGAAAATACAATCTGAAATTAATTACATGAATTATAGTAGATGTAATAAATGGACAAAAATAAAATAAAAACCACCATTCGATCCAATCAAATTATATTTAATTATATTAATCAAAGCGTGCGAAAATGACTTGAATTGGAATAGAGGTTTTTTTTTTATATATTACAAAAAACAAAAAAGCATCCATCAATGTTGTAGCGTGTCCAAACTAAATGCAACAAATACCAGGCTACAGCAACTGATGAAATGAAAATTGTTTTATTTCATAAAATATTTTTAGGCACTCTCTCAAAAATGTCTGTAATAACTTGATGGCAAAAGTACATCTTTAATTTTCTAACCTTATATAAGATTTTAAATTTATCTCTTAACTTTATAAAGTATTTTTTTTAGTACTCTAACACTAATATTATTTGTCTCAAATTTTTTTTTTAAAAAAAGAAACAACTACAAACACCCAAAAGCAAAAAGAACCATAGCAATAATCACCATGAATTAGGACAAAGGAGAGCCATGTTTTAATGTATGAAACAACTTATAAAATTTCAGGAGTAATTAATTATTTTTCTAAAACGCCCTTAAAATTAATTGAAGAAAAAGCTTATAATGCAATCTTCCCATGAAGAAAATGCAGTGTAAGAGACACTTAACAATTTTCATACACATTAAAAACATAGACAAAATTGGTTACTCTCATTATATATGCGTGTCATTAGGGTCATCATGGAAGTGTGGCAAAAGAATAGTCTTACATTGCATAGTATCATGAGAGTCAAAAGCCAAACTAAGCACTTTTTATTAGAAACATTTTTTTGTGATATTATTAGAAACGTTTTTGCAAAAACGCAAAAGTTAATTTGCGCAGAAAACAATAAGAAGAAATAGGTATTGGTTAGAATAAATAATAAGAAGAGATAATTTGCGCAGAAAATAATAAGAAGAAAACAATAAAAAACTAATTAAGTTACTTATTTATAATGAACAAGTGTTGTCTTTCTTAAAATACCCTTATTAATAAAATGTGTTGGTTAAAACTAATATTATTACAATGACTATCTTAAAAAAATGGATAAATATGAGATATAAAGTAAATTATGATCTTATATTTAAAACTAAAATAAAAGTCAAATGAGCTCTTATGTTAAGGACAGAAAATAGTTTAGTACTAACTCCGATCCTAATTACAAAAGCTAGTTAACTAATTTGAAGAAATTAAGAAAATAAGTTAAGTTAGTTATTTGTAATAGATAGCTGTTGTATTTCCTAAAATATTCTTGCTAATCAAGTGTATTGGTTAGAACTACTATTATTAAAAAGACTATCTAGGAAAAAATATATAAATATGATAGATAAAATGAATTGAGATTTTATATTTAGAACCAAAATAAAATTCAACCGAAATCTTATATTAAATACCAGAAGTAATATATGAATATATTATAAAAATTTATTGTATAACTAAATTCCGTGCACATAATTTTTTGTGCCAAGCTTGTGACTTGTATGTCAGAACCAGAAGCTGATCCACCAGTCCACCTGCTTCATGGAGGTTCCTGGATGCAACTTGATAAATGGGAACCACTAAAATTATATATTATATATCAATATGAATATTAATGGGTCACGGCTTTTGCCTCGATGCCTATATAAGCATAGCCGTTCAATTCTTTTTCATCAAATTCCTAAAGTGATTGATAATCTAAGCCATCGGTTCTTTCGTTCATTAATTTCAAAATGGGGATCCAAAGCGTTGAAGCCTATGGTGGAGCCACCAAGTCTTCAATGCTCAATTGCATCGACCTCTCTGATCCTGACATCGACAAATCTGTTAATTTGCTCAAACAGGTTAGCCTTCTCTGTTTCGCTCCTTCTTGTTGCTTCTTGGAGAATTTCGGTGTGTTGGTGTTTAATTATATATGTGTGATCATTTAGGCATGCTTGGATTCTGGGTTTTTCTACGTTGTGAACCACGGCATAAGCCAGGATTTCATGGACGAGGCTTTTGCCCAGAGCAGGAAATTTTTCGGTCTTCCGCTGAAGGAGAAAATTAAACTTCTTAGGAATGAAAAACAGAGGGGATATACTCCTGTTCTCGATGAACTACTTGATCCTGAGAACCAAGTACATGGTAAATATATTCTTTTGTTGTTCCTTCCATGCATGTCTTTAGATATAGCACTATGTTGTCTTCTGGTCGTCTTCTTCCTCATTATTTTAGTTTTTTTTTGGGTTGAGTAGGTGATTACAAAGAAGGATATTACATTGGAGTTGAAGTATCCGAGGATGACCCAGAATCACAGAAACCATTTTATGGACCAAACCAATGGCCTGCGTCTGGTAACTATCTCAAATTTGTAGTTTCTGAGAATTTATCAGAAGAAAACATCATTTTTACTTTGCCCTCTGGTGATAACTCATTCATAATTCTTTGTCAACTTTGTTGTCTTTTAGATATTCTGCCTGGATGGAGAGAAACAATGGAAAAATATCATCGACAGGCATTGTAAGTGTTAAGGAACTTGTTAATAATAAGTAATACCTTCAAAGTAATACGGAGACCATGGATTCACACAAGTTTTTTCATTTGTTGTTTCTTTTACTGTACCTTTAACCATCGGGTATTCAGAGAAGTGGGAAGAGCAGTTGGAAGAATAATAGCCCTTGCCCTTGATTTGGGTGCTGATTTCTTTGATAAGCCAGACATGTTAGGAGAGCCGATAGCGACTTTACGCCTGCTACACTATGAAGGTATCAATATCAATATTTCAATATACTTATAAAGATGAAACGACCCTATTCATAAGCTATGAACAATGAAACTTATCTTGAGTAAATATTAGTAGTGCCTTATGCCTGATATAATTACAAGATGAAAATGATCCTGACACGAGTTGATCGTTCTTTGGTTAAGGACAAACCTCAAATCCCTCCCGAGGATTATATGGAGCTGGAGCTCATACTGACTATGGTCTAATTACTCTGTTGGCAACAGATGATGTACCAGGTCTTCAAGTAAGGATCTCTCTCTCTCTCTCTAAGTCAGATATTTCACCTTATTACAGAACATTTATATATTTTCTTTATGCAGATATGCAAAGATAGGGATGCTAAACCTCAGATATGGGAGGACGTGGCACCCTTGAAGGGGTGAGTTCTCATTGTAGTTGAATGTAATTTTCTGGCTGAAAGTGAGACTGAGTTGTTACCTGCATGCTATTATTGCATAGTGTTGCATGTTTAGCTGCATACGTTTTCCTCCTTATCTTTCAAAGACAAACTGATTGTTCCTTTTTTGTTTTCATTACTCGAATTGAAAGAATAATTGCTTCTTCTTGTTGCCAGAGCATTTATAGTGAATCTTGGAGACATGTTGGAGCGCTGGAGCAACTGTATTTTCAAGTAAGGAACTTTGTTACTGCAAGTTATATATCTGAACTCTACCCAAGCCGGATATACTTCCGAACTTGAAACTGAAGGGACTTTCAAGATTGCCCTGAAACTTTCATCGCTAAACATTTCTATGAAAGTTTGATATGTGTGATTATGGTGCAATTCATTTTTCAAGCTCTAATTTTTACAATGAATTTATTTATTTTGTTCTGCGGTGCTAGCTTGAGTTGGCCTGGGTTCCTTTTTTTTCAATCTGGTACAAAGGACACATGACAGTACTGAAGCATTCTGGACTATTAGCATGCATGGGATCTTATAATTGTCTCAGTGATAATATTTGGTGGTCATTGTTAAAAGCCGCTCTTAATGCCATGAAAATTTCTGCAGTTAGATTGTTGATCTAGCTCTGTATGAATCAACAGAGATCGCCTGTACATATAATCATTTTCATTTCTATAAGGACTCCCCTAGAAGTTTTGACTATACTAATGCCATGTCATGTGTCTTCCTTTAATTGCTGGAACGAAAAAAATATAAGTTTCATTGAGAGCAATTGTAGATGTCATTATGAGTGTCTTCCGTTCTGTACATATTGGAATGGAGATGTTAGACTAAATGTATTGATAGATAAAATTAAAGACCACAATGCTATATGTGATTTGGCTTTCTTCTATCTGATATATATCACTGCTGTTGCTAACTATTGCTATAGGCTCTTATCAGTAGCATCCTTTTACATCGAACTTTGTTCAGTGCAAAGTCAACATTTTGCTTTGTATTTCTGCTCAGGTCCACATTGCACAGAGTTCTAGGAAATGGTCAAGAAAGATACTCTGTAAGCTCAGTCTTTTTAATTTTAAGTTTCAGCTTAGTTTTTCCTGCCGTTCTGATGTTTAACTTTATTACGTACTAAGCCATACAATAGTTTTACATATCACTGCTATTGGCTGGTCAAACAATATATATGTGTATATATATACCACTGCTACTGCTGTATTCATCTACTTTTTTTTTTTTTGGTGATATTATTATTATTATTATTATTATTATTATTATTATTATACGAAATGGAATTTCATGTGAATTATGTTTGGCTGGTAGGAATCCAAAATATTCCATTCTCAATCCTCTATAGTGATTTTTCAATTCAAAGTAGTAAACCCGTTCCCCATGCAATGAACTGCTGTTCATTAAGGAATGATGTGTACATCACTTTCTTAACTGTACATATTTATTGTCAGATGTATCATGTGTAAATGCTTCAAACTTGTCTTACTTAAAAAATAAAAATTAAATAATTAAAGTAACAAATATATTTACTACAAATTATTATGGTAATTTTTTTTATCTGTTCAAAAAAATAATTAAGGCTAAAAATAATAAATATTTTCACATCTAGAGTATTATCTCCGTTATTTTTTGCTTCAATTCCTGATCAGCAATTAATGACCTTACTCTGGGAATTTCTGGTTTCCTTGGTTATGCTTCCTTTTCCTCTTATCTGATTTGTTACAGAGGCCTGTAAAGAAAAGTATGTAACTTTCTCATCTCACTTTTTGTTTTCTCTTGACAGATAGCTTACTTTTTGGAGCCTAATCATGACTGTCTAGTAGAATGCTTGCCAACTTGCAAATCAGAAAGTAACCCTCCCAAGTAAGTTAAAATTTCTACCGAGTTTACCAGCATATTCTATGCCAGTAAGTTTATATGATAGCTAGATTCAAGATTTCACAATGAGGGACTCGTTTTTGGACATGTAAATAATAAGGTAGGCAATTTATTTATATCGTAGAACATATGAACCAAGTACATAGAGAAGGAAACTCAAATATGCATGGGCAAATTGGCAACAGAAGACAGACAAAATCGAAATACCATAAAGGGTTTCTCCCAAGCAAAAGGAAAACAAAACTAACACAAAATGGAGAGCTAAAATGAACTCTATCAGTGGTCCCTTCCAGTCTCACAAAACTGCACATATATTTCTTGCCAGGTTCCCTCCCATTCTATGCCAGGATTACCTGTGCCAGCGCTACAAGGACACTCATGCTGATTTAAGCTCATACAAGAAACAGTAAGCTTTACGTACTAGCATGCTTGGCATTTATGGTAAACTAGAAAGAAGTATTACCTTGCAGTTCGAAAGTTCAAATGCTAGTGGTCACAAGCGGACGAATCAGTGAGCTTGTGTTGTCATTTGAAGCCTTGCAGGCTGGAGAATTGTCTCAAGGAAATTGGCTGTTCACTGATTTTCTCCCAACAACAAAGTTTCTTTGTATTAGGAGCATTAGCATTTTACACTAGGCATCAAATTTAGCCCATTAGCTTCAGCACAAGGGGTACATTAGGTTTTATCTTTTAAGGAAAGTTTGGTGCGAAATGCTTAGGGATCGGATAGTAACATCCATGATCTGTACCTAGATAAAAGAAAAATAATCTGATCATCTTTGATATTATCATTCATCATACGATATGAATTTTCACTCTACATTTAGCATAAAAATTTCTCGCTATAGTCAATTATTTTTCAGATACCATATCGTGTTACTCCCCCCTTCTCGATCTCCCAATTGTATCGTGTATTTTACACTTTCAATGGAGCATAGTTGCACATAATGTCCATATAAACAGAGAGCTGCCAAATGCCCTTGAGAACATTTGCCCTGTTGGCCTTCTAATGAAAAATAAGTTGTCAGTAATAACCTTTATGATTAAACAGCTGGTTTCTGGTTATTTAGTCTAGATCATACTTTAGTTAATGCTAAAACAAAAGGTTCTTCAGAAAGAGGGAGGACATAACAAGTTTATATACATTATAGTAACAAGTCATTAACTCGACAAGGTCCCACAAAAAAGATAGGGTGGAAGTGAGCTAGGATACAAAATGTTAGTTCAGATATGAATGCGAGGAGTCCTTTGCTACCCATAGATCTCTCGCCACACAGTTAGGAGGTCTTGTTTAGAGGCATAAAACTCTAGGAGAATCGAACCCGCAACCTTCCATGCAAAGCAACACTTATTTACTGAATTTTGACTCTTGGCATAGTCATAACTAACGTGATACACAGCCAAAGCCTCATTTTTAAGTTGCTTCCTACTCTTTGGACTATCGTCCGGCTCAGAAGCACCATATAGTTTCTGCATGCAACAACGCAGTCAGCAAAGGAAGAAAATATTGGATTTTCTGAGAAAATGTAGGGCAAAACCATTGAAACATGTACCTCTTTATATTTCTTGTAGATGTTATCAGCAGCCATGTCTTTGGCTGTCGGGTCAGAACAATAATTTAGCGCAGCAGCCATTTCGCTCCTATACTGGTCATAGTATAATCTCCACATATTCAGGTAGTTCTCAGGTACTTCGACATCAAAACAGGGGAGCTTTGTAATATCTGGCAGCATGCACAGAACAACAGGTGTAACAAATACACAGTAAATCACGTTACGAGGCAACACCAAAAACACGGGATTATTCTATTTGGAATTCTCACCCTTCTTAGATGTGTCTTCATATTGATATCTGTCCACCTCATCGTATAGTAAACCTAAGATAGAAGTAGAGGTGTATGAATTGTCCTTTTCCATATAATGTGGGTACATTTCCGGCTTCAAATACTTCGGAACTTCAACCTGTTGACAAGCATTGGACAGAGCATATGCAAATTAAAAGCCTTCCCTTGTTTCATAGCATCGTATGGACAATGGAATGAAAAAACGAATGAAATTCTGAAGTATCCTTTGTGCCATTAGGTAAAATATAATAAAATGATATACTACACCCGGTCCCTAATAAAAGCAGATGAAATTTTGAGGCAAAGAATATGGTAAGGAAAATAATACAGAACTAACCTTCTTTCCTCCTTTCTTTGGTGCGTCCAAAGCATAGTAATAAAGATCAGTCAATTTAATCATCTTTTCCTTCACACATTCTCTCTCTTGCTTCTCTTTTGGGCAGTCATCCCTCACCCTCAATGTCAGCAGCCGATCCATAAGGGCAGTCCAACTCTCAGCTGCAATACCCACAGCATAACTAAAAAAGACAGCCAATTAGTATCTTAAGCCAATTAACTTCGGCAACCCAAAAAAAGGGCAGAATATCACATTATTCCAACACTAGATAATGAAATCTCTGATTCTCATCAAAATTCGAATATCAAGTTCTTAAGACTAGCAATAATGAAATAATTGTAAGCAAAACAGATTCCATACGTAAAAAATAGTGCCTCCATAGTTTGAGAACCAGCAGTGACATGGAAGATTCAAAGGACATTGAAGGATGGAATAATGTCAAAAAATGGCAGTTGTCATTGCTTAAGTGATGAAGACACAAAACACTAGCCAGGGCTGCTCGTAAGCTCCATTTCATTCAATTTTGGATACGAAGATTTTAGTAGAAATATTTAGACACCATCATACCTGGGTTGAAACCGACATCCCAAGAACAGTTTGAAAAGTTCATGCTGCAGTTCATCATCTGAAAGTGCACTTGGCCTTTTAGAATCAACGACATCATTGCAAGGAGGATTTTCAATCCATGGGTCACTCTTTTTGAAATACTCCAACAACTGAAACATTCAAAATATAAATATCGTCAATATAAAGAAAGTTGTTTTTAAGTACTACCAGCCTCCTCAGCAAAATGATGATGATGATGATGATACATAAATTACTACCCATTAAAGCCGAGAAAGAAGAGCATAAATTCCGATTTCTGAACCCCAGATTTGTGAACATTTGAGAAAAGACCTACGATACAAGTTAATCAAGTTGTACAGAAATCTAACATTCTGGTAAACTTCTATACATTTATAAGCTTTGAGGAATTCCAATTTAAGACATTATAATCAATATCACAAAAGAGAAGAAGCTACAGGAACCACCAAAAATAGAATAATAGGAACTCTGGAAGTGAAAGATATCTATACAGGAACCAGCGCTAGGATGAAACCAAATGCATGGATGATGAGAAAGCATCTTTGGAATATGCAGAAATTTAAAAGCAATGGCAAATAAGGAAAACGTCTCTCACTGATGCAAACTTAGGCTTAGCCATTGTATTTTTCTCAGCTGTGATAGCAGAAAACACAAACAAATTACTGGTTAAACAAATAACCTCGGTGGGAGATTGGACGGTCTAACCAGTTAACCTCAGCCTAGCTGCCTAACACACCAGAAAACTGAATACTGATTAGACATCTAATAAACAAAAGAGCAGACCTGAGGATTTTTTGATACCCAGTACATGTCACCATCAAAATCACCTCCACCTATCTCATCTGCCAAAGAGCGAGGACCAACACAAGGAAAGAATATTGCATATTTGCTATGGCCAACAAAAGATTCTAGCTCCTTCACATATGTTGCTTGGAGTATGTGAATATCTCCAAAATGTAATCCTGGATTCCGATATACCAATACATCTCCAGAAATTTGACCATTTTCACTATAAACGCAAAGGAAAAAGCACATTATTCAAGCAACAAAAATAGTTAACATTTTTGGGCTTCGGCCCCTTCCTTTACCAAAAAAAAAAAAAAAAAATAGTTAACATTTCCTCAATAAATTAATTTCTAAATAAGCCCGGAGTTTGAATTGTATCATCAAAATTGCTAAGTCTATTAAAGTCATTTCCAAGGAACAAAAAACCGGACTAAACACTAAACCGATTGAGGTAGTGATTCAAGGGTCAATTAGTCAGAACGGGATCAACGGGTCATATTAAAATAATATAATTTTATTGAAAATAGCAAAATATAACAACATTAATAATCACTAATAACAAAATATAAGGAAATATAACAATAGTTTGATTGTAACAATAACAAAGTATAACAACATTGAGAATATTGATCTTTATGGTTTATCATTAACTAAAATTAATAATCATTGATACCAAAATCATCATTAAAATTCACTTAAATCTATAGGGCCTGAGATATTAGGCGTTGAATGAGAAAAAATAGAACCAGTTCATTACCGGTTTTTAACCAGTTTTCACCGATTCATGCCGGTTTGACCATTTTAACATCCAAACCAAATCGGACCACTGGCCAGTTCACCGGTTTTCTACTTGAACCGGCCAGTTCAGTTCAGTTTTTTGTTCTCTGTCGCTTCTTGATATGATTTACATTCATATCTATTCTTTCTCAAACAAAGACCAACATTTGGCACTAGAGTCATAATAATATAGATAAAACTATCGTACCAGAAATGAGCAAATATGCAATAGGCAAAGAATATGTGAACATGATTGGATGTGCAGGGAAAATCTATAGCACGAAGCTCCATACTAAACATGACATGAGCATGAAAGAACCATCCAGTGTCACATAATACCAACCAATACAATAAAAATTCAACCGAAACCAATCCCCAAATGAGGGAACGTCTCCCATGGTGACTTTTTCTATCCATAAAACTAGAACTCATAACTTGATGAAGGGACGTTCAGTAGCGTGACACTTAACCCTCACCATTGATCCAAGCAAACAAATTTTAATAGAACAATGATACTGTCTAAAGGAAGGTTCAGAATCAGAACAAATGCTGGAGACTAAATAAAGGAACATCTATGATCAGATATATGAGCTACAAATGTATCCCATTCGCATGGTAGGGCATAAAATAAAGGGGGATAGCAATAAGTTGCCACTTTTTAGCCAAGATGAAGTATGACAGACTATTCCTCTTGACCATTGCAGTTAGATGGTAGCCGGAAAAAAAAATCACCAGAGTGTGAGGAACTAGAAAGAATGCGTCGGCTGCATTGTAAATTCAAAAAAATATATATACACATATATATATCATACGCCTCCAACCATGGGGGTTTTGCGCATAAAATGGAGCCATGTCTTCTACTGATAGAGAGATAAAGCAAGAAACAAAAGAGATGCTTACAGAATAATACAAACTTGATTCTTCTTAAGGCGACCAGTGGGATCAGCAGTCCCCATTAAGTAGTAACAATTGGGTATATAAAGTTTCCCCCTCCTAAGACTATTCATTTCCTCCTTTGCCAGTACAGATAGACGATATTGCAAAAATGGCTCATCAAGAGGGATACCATGTTGAATCATTTTTGCTGAATTGAACTCATTATCTATCTCACCATGGTTTAAAGACACTGCACAAAGAACCACATAATTGAATAAATTTTCTAAAGCAGATTTCAAAAAATCATACAAATGACAGGCCAATATTCAAATGTCAGAATTTAATTATTCTAGGAGAAATTAGATGACAAAATGAAGTATCAGCTGTAGGAATCTCTACGAGGATTACCTCTGAATGCAGCACGCTTGTCAGTGAAGACACAATATGCATTTTCCATAGCACTCTTAAGTAAATCCAGAAAAAACTCATTTGGCACTCCTCCATAGCTCAGAAGAGCAATCAGTGTTCGGGATAAATAACACCTCTGTGGTTTGTTGCTGAAAGATGAAGGCTTAAGATTAGATAACTGTTGCTTTAAAAGTAGAGAATTTTCTTTTCTAAAAACCCTAGAGTATTAGCCTAACACAATAGTTTAAGCAC